AAGGGAAACAAATGAATCCGTCCACCCACAGAGATGGGAGACAAATGAAGGGGAACCAAGGGAGACAAGTGAATCCGTCCGCCTGGAGAGCCGTGACAGACATCCAGGCTGGGAGACAACAGGAGCCAAATGAAGGGAGACAAAGGGAGAAAAGTGAATCTGTCCACCAAAAAAACAGTGCCAGGCATCCCAGACAACGGGAGACAAATGAAGGGAAACAAAGGGGTGCCAGACATCCTGGGAGACAAAGGTAGACAAATGAACCCGTCCACCCAGAGAGCCGCGCCAGGCATCCAGGCTGGGAGACAACGGGAGACAAATGAAGGGAGACAAAGGGAGACAAATGAACCCGTCCACCCAGAGAGCCGTGCCAGGCATCCAGGCTGGGAGACAACGGGAGACAAATGAAGGGAGACAAAGGGAGACAATGAACCCGTCCACCCAGAGAGCCGTGCCAGGCATCCAGGCTGGGAGAGAACGGGAGACAAATGAAGGGGACAAAGGGAGACACATGAACCCGTCCACCCAGAGAGCCGTGCCAGATCCAGGCTGGGAGACAACGGGCGACAAATGAAGGGAGACAAAGGGAGACAAGTGAATCTGTCCACCCAGGCATCCAGGCTGGGAGACAACGGGAGACAAATGAAGGGAGACAAAGGGAGACAAATGAACCCGAGCCGCGCCAGGCATCCAGGCTGGGAGACAAATGAAGGGAGACAAAGGGAGACAAATGAACCCGTCCACCCAGAGAGCCGTGCCAGGCATCCAGGCTGGGAGACAACGGGAGACAAATGACAAAGGGAGACAAATGAACCCGTCCACCCAGACTGGATCATCCAGGCTGGGAGACAACGGGAGACAAATGAAGGGAGACAAAGGGAGACAAGTGAACCCAGGGAGACAAACGAACGCGTCCACCCAGAGAGCCGTGCCAGGCATCCAGGCGGGGAGACAACGGGAGACAAATGAAGGGAGACACAGGGAGACAAATGAACCCGTCCACCCAGAGAGCTGTGCCAGGCATCCAGGCTAGGGCTTGGCAACAGGCGAGCCACCTTAAATGAATTTAGAACCCCTCACAGTAAACTGTTTGGGGAAATACTTTTTTCTTTTTCTTTAAATGAAATCATGATCAAGCAGCAATTGCTGAGAAAACACAACAAATCCTAATTAGGAACTGGAAAAGGAACTGGAAAAGGAACTGGAAAGGAACTGGAAAGGAACTGGGACAGCAATTAGGAACTGGAAAAACTCGAGTAATTTGAACAACCGGGGATTAGGAACTGGGCAAGATGAAAGTATGTCTTCTTCTAGAAACATCTGCTTGTCCTTTCGTGCAAAACATCTTGCCGCGCAATGTCCCTCACTTCACTCTCAGAAAAATATGCTTTATCTCTCGCGTTTCTCCATTGCTTTTGTCTTAGCAAGTTGAAAAGAATGTCTTCTAGTCAGTTGCATTGCGCAAATCCGTGCGTGCGCCATGTCGCTCTCGGCAACCGTCTGCTGCGCAATGTCCACGTGCATGAAGTTCGTGAAAAGATAGCGTCTGCTGATGCACGCGTAAGACAATTTGCTTCATCTTTCTAGGAGAAGACATACTTTCATCTTGCCAAGACCAAAAACAATGAAAAACTACCTGTCCAGACACGGCTAGCGCTTCGGTTCCAGAATTGGTGGCTACGCACATGCTAGTTGACCCTGCGCACGTTCATTTTGAAAGAGGCGTCTGTTGAAATCTGCGCGGCTTTCCTCGAGCTTTTGCACTTCCTAATCCGCAGGTGCTTGAGTTTTCCAGTTCCAAACCTGCGGGTGGTCAAATTCCGAGTTTTTCCAGTTCCTAATCCCCGGGTGTTCGAATTCCTCGAGTTTTTCCAGTTCCTAATCGCTGTCCCAGTTCCTTTCCAGTTCCTTTCCAGTTCCTTTTCCAGTTCCTTTTCCAGTTCCTAATTAGGATTTGTTGTGTTTTCTCAGCAATTGCTGCTTGATCATGATTTCATTTAAAGAAAAAGAAAAGAGTATTTGTTTCTTTTTTATTTTAAGCAACTTGGGATGACTGAGAAAACACAGCAAATCCCAATTAGGAACTGGAAAAGGAACTGGAAAAGGAACTGGAAAAGGAACTGGAAAGGAACTGGAAAGGAACTGGGACAGCAATTAGGAACTGGAAAAACTCGAGTAATTTGAACAACCGGGGATTAGGAACTGGGCAAGATGAAAGTATGTCTTCTTCTAGAAACATCTGCTTGTCTTTCGTGCAAAGCCATCTGCCGCGCAATGTCCTCACTTCACTCTCAGAAAAATATGCTTGTCTTTCGCGTTTCTCCATTGCTTTTGTCTTAGCAAGTTGAAAGAATGTCTTCTAGTCAGTTGCATTGCGCAAATCCGTGCGTGCGCCATGTCGCTCTCGGCAACCGTCTGCTGCGCAATGTCCACGTGCATGAAGTTCGTGAAAAGATAGCGTCTGCTGATGCACGCGTAAGACAATTTGCTTCATCTTTCTAGGAGAAGACATACTTTCATCTTGCCAAGACCAAAAACAATGAAAAACTACCTGTCCAGACAGTACGGCTAGCGCTTCGGTTCCAGAATTGGTGGCTACGCACATGCTAGTTGACCCTGCGCACGTTCATTTTGAAAGAGGCGTCTGTTGAAATCTGCGCGGCTTTCCTCGAGCTTTTGCACTTCCTAATCCGCAGGTGCTTGAGTTTTCCAGTTCCAAACCTGCGGGTGGTCAAATTCCGAGTTTTTCCAGTTCCTAATCCCCGGGTGTTCGAATTCCTCGAGTTTTTCCAGTTCCTAATCGCTGTCCCAGTTCCTTTCCAGTTCCTTTCCAGTTCCTTTTCCAGTTTCCTAAATTAGGAATTTGCTGTGTTTTCTCAGTCATCCCAAGTTGCTTAAAATAAAAAAGAAACAAATACTTTGTTCTTTTTCTTTAAATGAAATCATGATCAAGCAGCAATTGCTGAGAAAACACAACAAATCCTAACTAGGAACTGGAAAAGGAACTGGAAAAGGAACTGGAAAGGAGCTGGAAAGGAACTGGGACAGCAATTAGGAACTGGAAAAACTCGAGTAATTTGAACAACCGGGGATTAGGAACTGGGCAAGATGAAAGTATGTCTTCTTCTAGAAACATCTGCTTGTCTTTCGTGCAAAGCCATCTGCCGCGCAATGTCCTCACTTCACTCTCAGAAAAATATGCTTATCTTTCGCGTTTCTCCATTGCTTTTGTCTTAGCAAGTTGAAAGAATGTCTTCTAGTCAGTTGCATTGCGCAAATCCGTGCGTGCGCCATGTCGCTCTCGGCAACCGTCTGCTGCGCAATGTCCACGTGCATGAAGTTCGTGAAAAGATAGCGTCTGCTGATGCACGCGTAAGACAATTTGCTTCATCTTTCTAGGAGAAGACATACTTTCATCTTGCCAAGACCAAAAACAATGAAAAACTACCTGTCCAGACAGTAGATGGACAAATTAATCAAACCGCCAACAGTTGCGGCGCACACCCCCCCGTACCCCCCAATGTCAATGTTACACTAAACACAAGCGCTTTTCATGTCATCGGGGTTTGAGTTAATTCGTCCACCCAGCCCGACCCTCAAAACGGGCAATAACATTGAAATTGGGGTTCAAGGGGGGGGCGTTACAGTTGTAAGGGTTTGATTAAATCGTCCACCTACGGTAGGAGCCGCATAGGAAGCACAATCTGTACGAGTTCAACCCCCATCGCTTCTTGAACATTCGGGTCAGTGGATACCAGCTGTTTGAAAGGTCAGCAATTGGATATGCTCATGAACCCAGCCGGGTATTCACTTCAACCAGGGACATGTTGGCAGGACATCCTTTGCGTGGCATGAGGTATGTTCAATCATCTTCGAGGGTGCTCCAGACACAAAGCATTGGCAAATCACTGGCGTCGGAATCCTCCCGCCCAAGTTTCAGTAGTTCAAAGGCTTCCAAAAAGCGACCCACACCCAAAGAGACCTGAGGTATTCGCCGCCCACTTTGTTCACGCTAGAGCTGTGGCGTCCTTTGACAGGCAGGGCCAGCATGAAATGCAAAAGTTTAGACATTATATTGATCATTCCCTGAAGGGCAAACTATATGAACAAACTATGTTCCACTTGTTCCAAGCTTGGCGTGTCTGTTGGAGGGTACCCTTCTTGGGTGTTGTTCCATGGAAACCAAAGGATTGCTACCCATCAGAACTTCCCTCGTTTAGAGAATAATCAAGGGCAAATGGCTAATAAAGTCCCTCAAGGCTTTTGGCAGTATCGCTTTACAATATGTTGGTGTTCAAGAACTGAATCATCTGTTGTGTTTCATCTTTGCAAAAAGGAATCCACGGCAGAGATCGAAATGCCTCCAAGAGGAAATGGTCAGTTCCTTTGAGCAAAGCCCGTATGTACGTGTGTGCCGTTGATGAAGGCACAATGGGTAAATCCTCTTTGAGTCGAGGGGGTTCCATATCCCACCCACATGGTTATCATTGACTGGGGAGCCCAAGGGTAGACATCATTCACATCTGGAATGACCTTCAGCCAAGTTGAGTTGGCGTTAACCATATCTCGAATGCAGCAAAAGCCATAGCAGCAAAACAAAAACACATCTTCCCCAAAAGAACCCGTGTCATCATGCCCTCCCCCAAACCACAGTAGACTACCAAGGAGTGTCAGCCATCTTACATGTAGTCATGTCTTAAGGTGCGAGTGTGAACCTTTCAACAATTGTCAATTGCTCAAAGTTGTCACGTCTTTCGATATGGCTGAACTCAACACATCTCAAACATTCTGAAGCCGCAATTACGTGGCCCATCTTAAGCCACATCCTCATGGCCGGTTTTAAAGGTACGCCTTTGTGTGCGGCTTTCAGGAAAATAATTACAAAGGACACCGAGCATTTCGCGGGTGTTCGATTTCTTTTTGAGGCAAACCCATATTTACCGAAGGATAGATCCATGGATCCAAGGAACCCACAAAGCCCATCATCCATGGCTTCCGGCACTGCCGAGCTCTGCGCAGCAGCTCGGGGGTGATTGCCTGCCGATGCTTCTCCTTTTGGGGGAGACCTGGTTGCATAGGGGCATGAATACCAGGTTAAAAGGCTTCAAGCTGTATTTCAGCTCCAGTATTCAGCCTGTTTCCCCATACGGGTGAACTTGACTGGGTCACGGACCCTGCGAACATCATTGAGGTCGAGAAAAGGTCTTCGAACCACTTTTGAGGTGGCTCCCTGTCAAAGTACATTGCCAAATTTCGTAACAAATGGGGTCTAGAAGGCTGGCACAAAAAACACTGTGTGTATCCGAAAGAAATCGATATTTGAACCCATTTAGCAGCACCATTCTCGAAATCAGTTGGTAAAATGAAGACCATTGTCTTCAGGTTCCATGTCAATTTGCTGAGCAGAAGTACAGTAGATGGACCTTACCCCTGCCCCATCCTGGCCCCACAGCTCAAATCAGCACTACGCCCACCATGACTCGCCCAAAACTCGCCTTCAACCCACCAAAAAGAACAAACAGACTCACCATCACCTTTCGGACCTGGAATTTCCAATGGGAATTGCCTCCAGGCGATCGATTGATCGATTCCCCCGCCTTCAGCACGGCGACACAGCGCCGCTTCACCTCCGAGTCCCAGCCCATACCTCGGTCCGCAAAAGAAAGACGTGACTGGTGCCCTTTTAGTTTTCCTCAGAACCACCAACAAAAAGAGGTCGCAAGGATATTGAATCAAACCTAGATGGGTGTGTTTTCCCTTTGGGTTCTCCTTCAGAACTGGAAACAAAGGTAAGGATTTTGAATCAGACCCAGATGGGTGTGTTTTCCCTTTTGGTTCTCTTTCAGAACTAGAAACAAAGGTAAGGATTTTGAATCAGACCCAGATGGGTGTGTTTTCCCCACTGGTGACGCTGGAAACTCAGACTGCCAAGGGCACCTTCAATCACCATCACACTGTGATGTATGTGTTGCCAGGTGGATGTGTTCTAACCCCGCGCAAGGGTAAACCCTCCCTGCCAATTTTAGTGAGTTGAAGATCCAAATGTGGACTGAACTCACAAAACAAGATATGGCTGTGGCTCAAACAAAAGGTACCAGGATGGCACCGAATGGCACCAAAGACTCAAACCTGCGCTTGGCCCTAGCTCGTCACATGGCTCGCCGCATGGCGCGTTGACCGCCTCCCCCGAGTGACGGACAAACCGCGTCACGCGACTCGAGGCCGAGATGCCCAAGGCCAGGGGGTCCAGCAACGCTTTGAGAATGCCCCGGCCTCAGCGCGCGCGCGTGCGCGCGTGTAGATGCGCGATTGGATGGATGTGGGTATGGTTGGTTGGTTGGTGGGTTTGGCTGGTTGTCTTTGGTTGGTCCGGTTTCTGTGTTTGGTTGAGTCTGAGTGACGTTGCTGTCATTTCGTTTTTGTTGATTCTGCGTGTGTGTCTTGATCTGCAAGTTTGCTTGCCTTAATTGTTTTTTGTGCAAGATTAGCCCCAGAAATCAGAGGGATCCTTGCATTAATAAATTTGCCTTGGTGAATCTGCCAAGGGTTTGGCCGCTCGGGGGGGGGGGGGGTAAGAGGGAAGAATTGGGCCTATGTGTCGCCCAAGGCCCTGAATAATACTTTCCCGGGCTCTCCCTGGGCCAGTTCCAGGATATTAAAATAAATAAATAAATAACTAAATAAATAAATCAAAAAAACATATAAAAATGTTTTTATTGTATTTTTTTAAAATTTCTGGAGGCCTCCATTTTTTTAAAGAAAAAATATAAATAGTTTCCCGGGTTCTCCCTGGGCCAGTTCCAGGATATTAACAAAAATAATATTTTCCTTTTAAATATCATAAAAAAAACTGGAGGCCTCCAAAAAATTGAAAAAAATAAAAAAAATAGTTTCCTGGGTTCTCCCTGGGCCAGTTCCAGGATATTAAAAAAACATGAAATAAAAATCAAATAAGTTAAAAAAGAATCACATAATTGAAATATTTATATTTTTTGATTGTTTTATTTTTTTTAAATTTCTGGAGGCATCCAAAATTTAAAAAAATATAAAAACTATAAATAGTTTCCTGGGTTCTCCCTGGGCCAGTTCCAGGATATTTAAAAAAATCAAATAATAAAAAACAAAAAGATCAAATAAGTTAAATATGTTTTTAATTATGTTTTTTAAGTTTCTGGAGGCCTCCAAAAAAAACAAAATACAAATATAAATAGTTTCCTGGGTTCTCCCTGGGCCAGTTCCAGGATACTTAAAAAAAGCAAAAAACAAATCAAATAATTCAAAAAAATCAAATAATTTAAATATATAGTTTTTTTTATCTGGAGGCCTCCAAAAAATAAAAAAAAAAACATAAAAAATATAAATAGTTTCCAGGGTTCTCCCTGGGCCAGTTCCAGGATAAAATAACTAATTGAATTTCTTATTTTTCTAAATATCCTGGAACTGGCCCAGGGAGAACCCAGGAAACTATTTATATTTTTTTATGTTTTAATTTTTGGAGGCCTCCAGATGTTTTTTTAAAACAAATCAAATAATATAAATATTCAAATTATTTGAATTTGTTGAATTTGTTGATTTTTATTTTTATTTTTTCAATATCCTGGAACTGGCCCAGGGAGAACCCAGGAAACTATTTATATTTTTATTTTGTTTATATTTGGAGGCCTCCAGAAATTTGACAAATTAAAAAATATAAATATTTAAATTAGTTGATTCTTTTTTAAATTAATTGATTTTTTTATTATTTAAATATCCTGGAACTGGCCCAGGGAGAACCCAGGAGCCTATTTATATATTTTGTTTTTAAAAAAAATGTTGGAGGCCTCCAGAAATTTAAAAAATGAATTAAAAGTATAAATATTTAAATTATTTGATTGTTTTTTATTTATTTTTTTGTATTCCTATTTTTAAATATCATGGAACTGGCCCAGAGAGAACCCGGGAAACTATTTTGGTTCTTAAAAAAATGGAGGCCTCCAGAAATTTAAAAAGCAACTAATAAATTATTTGAATTATTTAAACTATTTGATTTTTTTCATTTTTTAAATATCCTGCAACTGGCCCAGGGAGAATCCAGGAAACTATTTATAAAAGATAAAGAATATAAATATATTAAATGAATTGAATTATTTAAATTATTTGATTTTCTTTGATTTTTTAAATATCCTGGAACTGGCCCAGAGAGAACCCGGGAAACTATGTATATTTTATATTTACTTTTTATATTTTTGGAGGCCTCCAGATTTTTTTAAAAATATAAATATTTAAATTATTTGAATTATTTAAATTAATTAATTTTTCAATATCCTGGAACTGGCCCAGAGAGAACCCGGGAAACTATTTTTTATTTTTCATTTTTTTGGAGGCCTCCAGAAATTAAAAGAATATATATTAAATATACAGACTTATTATCGTTTTAATTATTCAAATTATTCATGTTTTTCAACTTTTTCCAATATCCTGGAACTGGCCCAGGGAGAACCCGGGATATTACTCAAAAAACAAAAAATGGAGGCCTCCAGAAAGTTAAGAAATTTTAATAAATGAATGTTTATTGTTTTGCTTGTTTTTTTCAAACTTGCTGAATATCCGGGAACTGGCCAGGAAAAACTTTTTTTAGACGCCTCTACAAATTTAAGAACAAATAACTACAAAAACAAACTCTATATTTTTTAAATATCCGGGAACTGGCCAGGGAGAACCCTGGAATTTAATTATTGTTTTTGTACAAAAAATGGAGGCCTCCAGAAAATTAAAAATTAAAAGATAAATAATTTTAGATTATTTGACATGTTTAAAGCATGTTTTAAATATCCTGGAACTAGCCCAGGGAGAACCCTGGATTCTTTGTTGGTTTTTGGAGGCCTCCAGAAATTCAAAAAAATTACACCAGCCTCGACCCCAAACAGCAAGAAAGCATAACAGGTCTGATTCCCTTTGAAGCCAACAGCAGAAACCAAACACATGGCCATGGATCAAAATCCTGTACCCCCAGTGAACATCCCAATCCGCACTAAAATTGATTGAAATGGGTGGCGCACCTCCCAACATGGTACCATTGGTTTTGACCCGCAGCTATATTTTGGCTTGTGAGGGTGGCACCGAGGGTTTGTCCGTGTTTTCAGGGTCAAACTAGGGAGCCCACCAACAAATAGACACATATTCTTAAGCAATCAACAGCATCTAGCATCTGACCGCAGAAACTGGGAGACACAGGGAGACAAGCGGGAGACACGACCCGGAGCCGGCGTCACAGCATCTGGCATCTGACCGCGGAGACTGGGAGACACAGCAAGACAAGCGGGAGACACGACCCTGGAGCCAGCGTCACAGCATCTAGCATCTGACCGCAGAGACTGGGAGACACAGGGAGACAAGCGGGAGACAAGCCCGGAGCCGGCGTCACAGCATCTGGCATCTGACCGCGGAGACTGGGAGACACAGGGAGACAAGCGGGAGACACGATCCTGGAGCCAGCGTCACAGCATCAGCATCTGCCCGCAGAGACAGGGAGACACAGGGAGACAAGCGGAGACAAGCCCGGAGCCGGCGTCACAGCGACTGGGAGACACAGGGAGACAAGCCGGAGACACGACCCCGGAGCCGGCGTCACAGCATCTAGTATCTGACTGCAGAGACTGGGAGAAACAGGGAGACAAGAGGGACACGCGACACACACAGGGAGACAAGCGGGAGACACGACCCCGGAGGGGCGTCACAGCATCTGGGAAACACAGGGAGACAAGCGGGAGACGTCACAGCAAGCGGCGGAGCCAGCGTCACAGCATCTGGCATCTGACCGCGGAGACTGGGAGACACAGCAAGACAAGCGGGAGACACGACCCTGGAGCCAGCGTCACAGCATCTAGCATCTGACTGGGAGACACAGGGAGACAAGCGGCAGACAAGCCCGGAGCCGGCGTCACAGCATCTGGCATCTGACCGCGGAGACTGGGAGACACAGGGAGACAAGCGGGAGACACGACCCCGGAGCCGGCGTCACAGCATCTAGCATCTGACCCCAGAGACTGGGAGACACAGGGAGACAAGCGGGAGACACGACACAGGGAGACAAGCGGAGACAAGCGGGAGACACGATTTCGGAGCGGCGTCACAGCATCTGGGAGACACAGGCAGACAAGCGGGAGACACGACCCTGGAGCCAGCATCTGACACAGGGAGACAAGCGGGAGACAAGCCCGGAGCCGGCGTCACAGCATCTGGCATCTGACCGCGGAGACTGGGAGACACGGGGAGACAAGCGGGCGACACGACCCCGGAGGGGCGTCACAGCATCTGGCATCTGACCGCAGAGACTGGGAGACACAGGGAGACAAGCGGGAGAATCTGGCATCTGACCGGAGAGACGAGACTGGGAGACAGGAAGACAAGCGGAAAACAGGCCCCCGGAACCGGCGTCACACTTTCCCATTCTATACCTCAAGTTAGAACCCCAATGCTTCGCTGTTTGGGGAAATACTTAAATTATCTGATTTTTTAGGTTGTTTAAACAGAATGGAACTGGCCCAGGGAGAACCCTAGAAATGATTCAATTTTGATATTTAAAAAAAGGATGCCTCCAGAATTTGAACAAAAAACATTTTTATAATGCTTTCTCAGGGGCCGCCAAAAGGATTGAAGGTTTATCTTCTTTGAGTATTCCGCACGGGCCCAGGGAGGGCCCAGGATATGTCTTTTTCAGGGCTCCAACAAATTGAATAGCACACGTAGTCAAATTCGTAGAACTATCTAAATGACTTAAACGTTTTTGTTCCGAGCCTCCAACAAATAATGCGCTAAGAAACACATTTGTACATTCCATAATTTCGAATTGTTTGAACTCGAGACACCCAGATTCTTTAAATATTCTATAATGGGCCCAGGAAGGGCCCTGGACATAACTTGGATTATTTGAACAGATATGTTGTTCAGGACCTCCAACAATTTGATCAAAATAAGCAGTTCGCATTTTGGAATTAATTGAACTTTTTCATTAGGAAAATTTTATTTTCGGAACTAGCCCAGGGGGTGCCCTTGAAATTGCTTAAATTGTGTGAAATATCTAAATACTTAGTTACCTAAACATGTTCATTTGTTCTAACTATTTAGGACGTTGGACACAAATGAATCTGGAGTTCTCCAAAAGGGGCCCGTCCCTTTGAACATATTCGAGTAGAAAGCATGTTGCTTTTATAAGACATATTCTAAGTAGACTAGTTGTTCAAATCATGTTGGTTAATAATAGTTAGACAAAATAAGGTGCTGTTTTCCAAATG